AAACCTAGTGAAGAGAAGAAAGCAGGAAAAGTATTCCTCAGTTAACTCACCAAAGCAACTTCACTTAAAACACTGTTTTCAACTAGGTTGAAAAGAAATTAACCAAGTAAAATCATAAACCAAAGAATATTCAAGTAAATCAATAAGCTACCAATTGCCAAACAAGAAAAAATTTGGGGGGTGGAGGGGTGGGGACTTGAAATCATATCATAAATTACTGAAGGAATCAGTTGTTTCCCATGGAACATGTCCTTAAAGCCTGACCTGGACCAGGAGCATCAGAATCACCTAGAGTGCTGATTTTGAAATGAAGAGTCTTAAAGTTCCACTTTAGAAAACAAAACCAAAAATTCTGAGGGTTCAACCCTGAGCTCTGCATCTTTTAATAAGTGCCCCAGATGATCCTTCAGTAGAGTGTCCTAGAATGGTGCAAAGTCAAACTAAAATAGACAAGAAAACAACTTAAGATCCTACAAGAAAAACCCAGATACATTCAAACCAGCAGGGCTGCCTCACAAGCCCTCTAAGAATCTTATGAGCATTGGACATATGATTATCACTCCTTCTGGGAGGCCTCAATCCAAATCCTGACCTGTAGTTACCAGCTGTGTGATCCTACAAAGGCACTTAATTTCTAAGCCTCAGTTTCCTATCTTCTTTATAAAATAGGGTAATAGTATTCACCTCACAGGATTTTTGGGGCTTAAATGAAAATTAAAGTATCTTGCATAATGCTAGAACTACAACAAATGCTCAGTAGAAGTTTGCTCCCTTCCCTCCTGCTATAATGCCTGAGAAGGTCTCAACATCACTTCTGTGGGGTTTTTGCAAAACTCCATAACCTGAATCTGATCATAAGGAAGCATCAGACAAATTCAAATTGAGGGACATTCTACAAAATAATGGGCATCCTCAAAACTATCAAAGTCAAGGGAGACAAAGAAAAGCTAAGGAACTTTTCCAGATTAAAGAGGACTAAAGAGACACAACTACTCTAAATGCAGTGTGTGATCCCGAACTCAATCCTGGGTTGCGGGGGGGAGTAGAATATAGCTATAAAGGGTGCTACTGGTACAATTAACATCATTTGACTACAGACTATGGATTAGATAATAAATTGTATCAATGTTAAATTTCCTTATTTTGATAACTAGAATGTAGCTATAAAATGCACTTGCTTTTAGGAAATAAACACTGAAGTATTTCATGATAATGGGGTATGATGTCTCCAACTTATTCTCAAACGGTTCAAAAAAATATGCCGATACAGACAAATTCATGGAAAATACAGACCAAAAAATGGAAGAATTCAGGAAAATAATACAGGAACAAA